TGAAAGTGTTCTTGCTGGAGAAGTCCATGCACGGAGGTTCACCGCGCTGCTGACTCGTTTGAGTTCCTCCTGGCGCCTCACGTCGGGCTCGTCCCATCTGCTCTCTGTTCTCTCTCCCATCAGCTCCCAGAGGAATCGAGTGCTGTGGCATCTCCTGTCCTCCGAGCAGCTCGCTGTTCTGCTCGTGCGCTCTCGCTGCGGAGCCCGCCCCACAGGCTCTGCGGCTCTCTTCTGTTTTACTCCTGCCTTGTTCAGTCTCCGTTCGCGTGCGTCTGAGCTTAGATCGGGTCCCATCTGTGATTGTCTCCCAGGAGCAGGACGGTGTAGGTGGCCTCTGTCCTGGGTGCCAGGGACCGTGCTGGCAGGGCACGGGCGCCAGAACCGTCTGCACACGTTCTGGAAACGCTCTGTGGTGCACAGGGACGCTCAGGAGGGTCCAGGACCTGGAGGGGTTTTGCTGGCCGTCATTATTTGTGTCTGTGTGTCTCCCCTAGGAGGGCACTCTTAGTGGCAGGGACCGGGCTGCGGGAACAGACGTGCTCGCACCTGAGTGCTTGGGTCCCCGCCGATATGTACATGTCCCACCGAGTTTGTTGGTCTGGTGTCTCCAAGCCCAGAAGGTCAGGACAGTCTGCTGGGAAGGACGGAGCTCGGCAGACAGGCTGACACGTGAAGCCGCCGGAAGAGCCCAGGCGTCATTGGTTGGGGACCATGTGGGTCAGGCCCCAGGGGCGTTCACAGCCGGCTGGGCACACAGGGAGGCGCGTGGCTTAGATTGTCCTGTTCAGAGGAGGGCCTTGGGCCGTCTGGACCCTCCAGCCGGTGCCCGCCACCGTCATCGCAAGGACTTAGTCCTCTTAACTTGGCGCAGTTGAATCCTAACCTTTAAAACGTGCACGCTTTCCCCCTATCGGCCTGCCACGAAGAGTCTCAGAGCCCTGGCTCAGGAGGAAGCCCCGCACCACGGACAGCCCCCAGTCTGCCGGCGGCACCCCGGGTCCTCGTCGCGCCCCGTCTCTGTCCCGCTGCCCACCCCTCAGCCAGGCTCGGTTCGTACATTTCGAAGTCAGCCGCGGGCACCGGCGCACCCCCAGTGGGCCTGCAGTGGGCAGACCCTCACGTGACCCGACTCGGGTGCTCGGGTCCTCTGTGGGGAAGCATAGAGGGCGCGGTTGTGCCACTGGGTGAGTTCTGATGCGTGTGCATCTGTGCGGCCAGGTCACCTCAGGGCCCAGGGCAGCACCGGCACCGCAGCCAGCTCCCGGTGCCTCTTGCAGCCTGGCCGCCCCACTGAGTTCGGGCTCTGCTCGTTCTGGAGGGCCCTAACGGAGCCTGTGGGACTTGTGCCCGTCTGTCCTCAGGGGCGCCCGGCAGGCGCTGGGTGATGCTCCTGGGGTGGAGCAGGCATTGTCGCATACTGGGCTGCGCCGGCGCCAGGACACCTGGCAGGGCAGGCTCATGCGGGGCGGGCGGCTGAGGGCCACCGTGAAGCGCCCCCCACCGGCTGGGGGCAGCGTCTGGAAAGCCCTGGCCAGCCCTGCTGCTGCCTCACCCCTGCTCCCTCAGCGGCCATGGCGGGGTCTCCACGGGCCTGTGGCCTGGGCGGCGTGCTCCTTGACCATCCTGCAGACATGCTCCTGGACCTCAGCGACCTGCTCCAGGTAGACCGTTCCCTCCCCGCGGGCATCCGAGCTGTCTGGTCGGGAGGGTTCGAAGGCAGAGGGCGGGAGGGCGTGCTCTTCGCTGGGAGGCAGTGGACGCGGGCCACGGTGGTGTCCTCGCCGGCGGCCCGGTCTCAGCACCCGTGGAAAGGCCCAGGGCACTCTGTCCCGGGCTTGGGAGATTCTCAGTGGATTCGCGTGCATACCTTTTATAGAGTATCAAAACCCGTATTTACTATTTAGAAGAATTTGCTTTTTAGGCCCCGGGAATGCGTTTTTCTGTAGAATCTTTCATTTCCAAAGGACTGAACGTGATGGAAAGACCCAGTAAGAGGGACCTCTGTGGACGGGACACTCGGGGGCCGGGGCATTGCCAGGCGGGACCGTCGAGGTCCTGCTGTGTCCCTGGTGGTGGCGCTGGGGCAGGCTTGGCCCTGCGCCCTGGGGCCGGGCCCTCGGTGACCGCCGCACTGAGGACTTGGAAAGAGAAACGGTGTCGTTGGAACCAGGCATGAGGACAGTGTGAGACTTTGAGCAGGGAGCAGGGTCACCCCAGATGGGCATGGGCCTCGCTCCGGGCTGTGGTGCCCCCAGGACGGCCCAGCAGGTGGACTTGGACCTCAACCAGAAGCCCCCTGTGCTCTGTCCTCCCAGCTGTCTTCATAAATAGCATCTCTCAGAAGTCCCGCTGGAATACTCCGGGGTCGAGCTAAAAATAGCCCACCGGAATTGGGAGAGGCCAGCGTGCCATGTGCCGTGCTGGTTCCTGGCAAGGCCACACGGGCCAGCTTCCATCCGGTGACTCCTGGGAGTGACAGGAGTAGGGCCAGGCGGGATGCCTGCTGGGAGGAGGGGCTTCTAGTAGTTTTTCACATGACGTGATTGGAGATGGGAGACCAGTCAGGTGTCCAGGTGGACGACGGAGATGGCGGGAGTGTTCCTGCTCACCTGGCCAGAGCAGGGAGCCTGCGAGCTCAGGCTGGACATGCTCTCGGGCCAGGTGTGGGCACCCGGTGGGCTGAGGCCTCCCCCGGGGGCTCACATGCCAGGGGCTGACCATCTAGACCAGAGGTTCCCGGTACCGGTCCACGTCCTGTTAGGAACCAGGCTGCACAGCAGGTGAGCGGTGGGCGAGCGAGCGAAGCTTCATCTGTGTCTGCAGCCGCTCCCCAGCGCCGGCATCACCGCCTCAGCTCCGCCTCGGATCATCAGGCATTAGATTCTCAGAGGAGCACCGGTCCCTGGGGCCACAAAGGTTGGGGACCGCTGCCCTAGGGAAAATGAGCAAAAGACTAAAAGTTCCGCTTCACTCACCCAGCCAAGGGTCGGCACTCCTGAGCTCGCGGTGAACGTGCCCCCGCAGGGCCACCCAGAGCGCGCTACAACCCAGGGGTGCTGGCCGGAAGCCCGTGTCCTCGTGGCGAGGCTGCCGTTGGGAGAGGAGTGGGGGGGCGGGCGCTGCCGGCCACATCCGGGCATGGCCAGCCGTGGTCAGGAGATGACAGCTACAGACACTAGCACCTAGACGGGTGTCAGTGTCATTTCTGATGAGCAGGGACGCTGGCGGCCCCTCTGGCGACAGCCGCCTGCGCATTATGTGCCTCCCTCCTTGGTTGGGCTTTCTACTGGAAAGGCCACTGTAGCATCGAGGTCGTCTGCTGGGGGGCTGCGACCTGGGCACACTGCAGGACAGGCGACAGCGTGTCCGGCTAGGGCAGCTGCACTGTGGTCTGAGAAGTGTGAAGTCGGGGGGCTCCAGGGCCTGGTGCGAAGCCAGCACAGGGCTGGGGCGCACACACGTGCCTCTCATCTCAGGCACATGCATGCTCAGGCAGTCGTGCACACACAGGCACACGTGCACACTCACGTGCACACAGGTGGGCAGGTCGCAAGCTCCGTGAGCCGGCACCCCTCATGACGGGGCTTCTGGAGCCTTGTCAGGTATCTCAGAGGAGGAGGTGTGACTACACCCAGCAGGGGTGGTGCCCCTCCCCGCCACGGCTGCCCCTCGAGGAACCTCCATCTCCTCTCCTTCTTCAGCACCCCAGGATGGACGCGGCACACACCGAGGCCTTGACTTTTCCTAGGTGTCTTTTCGGGTGGCTTCTTGGGCCCTGGCTCACAGACCCACAGGCCAGGCTGGCTGAGGCGAGGGAGCCCCCTGGGAGGCAGGGGTCCCAGGGCAGGGCCTGGTGAGGACAGGACTGCCAGTCCTGCACGGTGTCCAGGCCGCTCTACAGCCAGGAGCGGGAAGAGCTCGCCACGGCGTGAGCCGCGGGCCTGGGGGGCCGGCGGGGTCTTACGCAGGGCCGTGCAGAGCGACACCAACGGTGCCCGCGTGTGCTTCCTCCGGCAGGTGAACGTGTACGTGCTGGGGAAGACGTTCCTCCTCCTGGCGAGGGAGCTGTGCATCAATGCGCCGGCGATAGGTACGGCGGGGCAGCGGGCGCGCCAGCTGGGGAAGGGGAAGGGGGCGGCGGGCACACATGTGGGCATGTGGCGGGGAGGGGACGTGTCCCGCGAAGCTGCCAGGAGCCCAGTGACAGCTCCTTCTGGTCTACAACCAGAACGTGGAGGTCGGTCCCAGGCAGGTGTGGACGAGGGTGTAGACAGAGGGCACCAGCAGTTGTGTGTGGTGACCCGCGTGTCCACCTCTCGTGGACTACACCTGGCAGCCAGGACCTTGGTGGACGGATGGCCTGGCCTGTACTGGAGCTTCGCCAGGAGGATGGCTCTTAGCCTGCAGGGCCACTCCTTCCTGTGTCCATCAGCATCCGGACAGGCATGTCCTCAGACTCGGGGCAGTGGCTGGGGAGTGGGTCCTGGGTCACCCACAGGATGGCTCCCCGGGTTTGGGAAGGCAGGGTCGGGCAGGTGGGCCAGGAGGCTGCAGCCATGCTACCGGCCCAGCCTTTTCTCTCAAGAGGCCACATCCCCGCACTGAGTGACGGGTTCTTCCCCCGGGAGGTCAAGCCGAGCTCTCCCAGAAGCAAAGGGAGTGTGAGCGGCGGGAGGACGGAGCTGGCTTGGTCCCACAGTGCACCTCCCCCTCCCGGCCCCACCCCCCGCAGCCTGAATCCCAGGCTTACGGCAGGGCTTCGTCCAAGCAGCGGGCACGCTTTACCACGAGCAAGACCCCCGATCTTTTCCCGAGCATTCTAGCTGCAGCCCCTGGAAGCCAGCCTCCCCCCCACCCCAGATGGTGGAGGCCTGGCCTGCTGGCATGGGGCACAGTCCCCTGGGCCCGCCGCAGCTTCTGGCCAGTAAGTGCCATTCAGGCCACAGGTTCCCTTATCCCCTTGGCAGCTGCGGACCCTCCCACAGTCACGTGTTTACGTGTGGTTCTCACTGTTATAACTTTATTGTGGAAATCCACTTAAAGGGATGAACGATTCTAAATTACTTTTCCTCGCTTTCGGATTTGAAGGAAAAATGTGAAGTTAAGCTTAAAACCACTTAGAATAGGATCCAAGGTAAGAGGGACAGAAAAGCCCAGAAAGCACGAGGTGCGGGTGCCCGTGGCGGGGCCCGGGCCCGCTCCACGCCCCCAGCGCTGCCCTCTGCCCAACGTGAGCGCCTTCTGAGGCCCAGCCGCCAGCATCCAGAAACCGAGGCTCTGTCTGTGTAGAAAACGTCTATTTCACAGCTTGGCTGTGTACAAAAGAGATACAAAGTTCACGAGGCCCCGAAGCCGCCACAGTGTGCGGCCCCCCCGGGTCCCCCCCCCAGTGCCTCAGGCGTAGAAGATGAGCTCGGGGATCTGCCCGCCCTGGACCCCGGTCCCGTTGGTGCTGTCCGAGGAGCACTGGAACTGGAAGGTCACCTTGCCACACTGCACTTCCGTCATGCCCTCCTGCCCGAAGTAGCTGAGCTCGCTGCCGTCCAGGACGGCGCTGGCCGTGTAGAAGGTGTCCTGCTCCACCTGCACGGGCTGCTCGAACCAGACGGAGAAGGTGCTGCTGGAGCCGTCCGAGACGAACCTGGTCAGGTTCTGGGCCAGCACCACCCCCAGCCGCTTGAGCTCGATCTTCACGCTGTACTCGGCCTTCCCCGAGCTGGACCCGTACAGGCCCAGCCCCGCGACGAACACCCTGCGGTCCACGGCAAACTGGATGCTGTCGCAGCGGCCGCGGTAGCGCCACTGGTTGCTGCGGTGGGCGGAGGACTGGAAGCGGCGGCACCTCTGCGGCGCCAGGCCCCGCCTCCTGGTGAGCGGGAAGTCGAGCAGCGGCTTGTTGGCGGCCGTGTACCACAGGAAGATGCTGCGCGTCTCCTCCAGCGTCAGCACGTCCGACTGCGCGGCGCCGTTGGCGAACTCCTCCAGCGTCATGGTGGGGATGCGCACCAGGTAGAGGGCGGGCCCCAGCACGTGCCGCTTGTTGCGCGGCGTGACCGGCAGGCCCTGCCTCTTGCACTCGGCCTCCGCCCAGCTCAGCACGGCCTCGAAGACCACGGCCTCCTTGGTGTTGAGGGCCTCCCGAGTGACGATGATCTCCAGCGTCTGCCAGTCAATCTCACAGAAGCCCTCGGACCTCAGGGCCGCCTCGGCCTGTGCGTCGATGACCTCCCAGCAGCGCTGGGTCAGCTCCGGCTCCTCGAACAGCCGGCTCTGGGACAGCAGGACGCAGGCATTTTTGGCTTCCAGACTCGTCTCCAGGAAGGTGACGCAGGCTTTTGCCAACGCGGGGACAATGTACTTCTTGGCGGCATAGAGAGTGGCCAGCACCGTGTCAGCTTCCAGATCGATCTCATCGCTGTACATATACCTAGGAGCAGGGACCACGTCACAGGCCGCGTGGGGCACGCGGGGCACCCAGGGCCTGAGAGATGAGCCCGTCTGTCCTTGTGGACTCCCCGCTCGTTTGCTGGCTGGGGGAACTGGCAGCGAGGGACCACCCCGTCCCTGCAGCTGCTGGGGCTGACTTACTTTAACAGGATCAGGAACGCTGCGGGCTCCACGTCGGGGATGTGGATCTCAGACTTGACTTCCGCCAGGTCTCCGTAAAACATGGCATAGAAGACTGAGCTACCGACAGCTAGGACGTACTGTGGAGAGAGCAAGGAGCCCTGAGCCCTGGGCCCTCCCTACCTCCGGCGGCTGCCGCACCTGGGGTAGAGGACAGTCCACACTCCGGAGGGCCTGTCGCCTTTAGGAGCTCAAAGGGCCAAGCCTCTACCAACCTTGTGGGCAGGTACTCTCCGGGCCCCGCCCGGGGGCCCCACAATGAAGTGGACGTCGGCCATGAGCTCGTTGTTGAACATCAGCGCGTTCCTGGGGAGGAGAAAGGCACACAGCTGGGGCT